CCTGCCGCCCACAGCCCTTAGGGGTGCTGGCAGCTCTCTGGGCTATGAGATTGTTAAAGGATGGGTCTCTGTCAGCCAGGAGTGGAGCCAGAGGGCTGCAAGTCTGGGAGACAGGTATACATCACTGTGCAGCACAGCTCCCCGCAGGTGTGGGGGGGGTGCCTCAGGAGGAGCTTCTTCTGATGCCAGCTTCTTTGCCCTTCACACAAGGGCCCAGGGCATCCGAGCTGATGTGTTCTCCACTCCACTTCAGTTCTCAGGTCAGATCTCCTCCTCTGCCCAAGGAGGCTTTCCGGATCACCAGAGTGAAGTTTTCCCACTGCAGTGGCCCTTCATTTCCTTCCTGGCGTGTGGTACACTCCACAGCTGGCTGACTTGTTTGCTGATTCTCTGTTGTGTGTCTTCCCAAGGGTCCTAGGACAGGAGGATGGGATCCAAAGCTGTCTCGGGTCCGTAGCACTTAGAATTGGGTCTGGTGCATAGTAGCTGCTCAGCAGGTATTTGCTGGATGAGCAGGTGGATGGGAGCTGGCAGGCAGGCCCTTCCTGAGTGCCCTGTTGGTGCCACCCAGCCCATCTGGGGCAGAAGGGCCATTGCCTGCAGAACTGAGCCTCGGTGAGGCTCTCACAATGAGTCAAACTCTGCAGCCATATACGCAGCACCTGTGCCTCGAAGGAGACGAAATGGAATACACTCTCTGGACACCTTGGGTGTGTCTGAGAGCCTGAATTTTTCTGGAACAGGGAAAAGTATAGGACCATCGTCACCAGCACCTGGCCTCTGTACCTCTCTGTGCAAACTTGGTTCCTCCACATGCACGCCCCCAGCTCTAGGGCTTTAGTAAGCCCACCCATGATCTCCGGCCAGGGCTGCAGCTCTGCCCTGTGTCCGTGTCAGTGCACAGAAGGTGAAGCACACAGTGCGCGTGTAAGGGGCTGTGTCTGCCCATGGTGGCCAGCTGGGTCCCACACAGGTGCCTCTGTCTGCAGAAGCTGGACGCAGTTGCTGTGCCAGGATGGGCAGATAAGATTCGTGACATTTTCTGGACTGTGCACACTGTCTCTGGTCCTCCACATCTGTGTCCTCCTCTTCGTGGCTATCGCCTTAATTCATTGTGGCTTCATAGTGGGGTGAGGTGAGCCCAGGCCCCTTGTGTGGGCAATGGGAGATGCCTCAAAGTCTGGTCAGGGTAGAGTGCAGATAAGTTCTAGACACAGAAAGGCCGCATGGGTGAAACAGGCATCCAAGCAGCATCCCAAAATGGAAAAAAAAACAAACAGGGTTCCCTTTATCCTTAACCCATTTTCTATTGCAATAAAGGATACCACGGGCTGGTAATGATAAACAGTAGAAGTTTGTTTGACTTGTGGTCCTGGAGGCTGGGAAGTCCAAGAGCAGGGCACCAGCATCTGTCGGGGACCTCTGCTCTGCCTCATGGGAGACCACGAGGAAATGAGACCCAACTCACCGTGTTCATCAGGAACCCACCCACGTAGTAATCGTCCGCTCCTGCAGTAACAGCATTGATCTGCTCACGGCCTGCCCGTGCCTTAACACAGTGGCTGTGAGATTTTCATGGGAGTCTTAGCGGGAATGCTCTGACCATAGCTTCCCTTGAGTAGCATTGAGGGCACAGTCTCCATGAAGGCGGCACTCATAAGATTTCAAGAAAGGAGTTAGAGAGACTGAGTCAGAGTTAAGAAGCAAAATAAGCCAGCTGTGCCCCGGCTTGACAGTGCCGAGGCTTCCCGTTCCAGGTAAAGAAAGGCAGCGTTCCCTCTCTGGACCTGTCTCGGCAGTCACTGCCTTGAATGCCTTCACCTGGGGCCACAGGTGTGCCTTCCACACTTGCTGACCCTCACCGCCTGGACCTGCGCCTGGAGCAGTGCCCGGTCTGACACTCTCGCGCAGAGCCCTCACCTGAATCATCACACAGGGCCTCATCAGTACCAGCCGGAATGAGAAGACCTGTTGCTCCCGCCGCCATCACCGCAGTGTAACAATTCCCACTTCTACCCACGTCCAGTAAATTTAATTAGTGTTGAAAAGCAGCTTATTTGGCAAGATGATCTGCTTTTAACCTGGGTAAATGGCTTCCTTTATGATTGTAAATTAAGCATGCCGTATCTTTTTCATGCATCACGGTTGTCCTCATCAATACTACAGGCAGTTGCTGGTGGTCTCACTTGGTTACCTTTCCCATCACTATTTTATCATCATCCCAGTAGGAGTGGGGAATTCATTCCATCTTAATGACAAAGCGGAAGTGGTGGCAAGGGGCCTGTTGCAGCGGGAGACTGTGCCTTGGTCAGTGTCTCTGTGGTTGGTGATCAGATGCTAGGCCCGGCCCCGCACGGGACGTTCTCAGCTTTCCATCAGGCCTGCCGTCTACAGCCTTTGTAAAGGGTGTATGCGGGGCTTTAAAGCTGCTTTTGTCTTAATTGCAAATAATTAGGAATCAAATATTTGCCAGTGACGACTGATTCCCAGGCCAGAGAGAACCTGAATGTTTGTAATGGCTTCCCTGGTCGCAGGTGAGCAAGGGAGTTTTCTTAACACTGACCCTCTGCACAGTCCAAGGGAAGGACCGAGGGAGTCCAGCTGCACGCTACTCAGTGTGGGCCCCTGATACATGAGTGACGTGGTCCTCAAAGGTGATCTCTGCAACCTGCGTATGCAGGCAGTGCACAGGAGGAGGAGGAGGTCGGACACAGTGGAGGAGTCCCCATCTGCCGTGGGCTGGCTCTAGCCTGGCTGTCTGGCTAGATTCAGCAGTCTCTGAAAGCCCCACCCTGCCCTGTCTCCCCAGCACCACGGTTGCCTTTGTCGCCCAGGGACACGGTCACAGGCCCATCTCCCTTAACACCTCTGTCCTGCATTTCCTTCCCATCCCTATGGAGGATGCGGCAGGAGAAGCACCCACAGAAGCTCAGCGCTCACCGCCCCCCACCCTGCTCCCCGTCACAGCCCCTAACCCAGTGCGGGAACAGCGGCCCTCACTCAGCTTTAAGGAGCTCAGCTCTGAAACCTCCTGTGTTTCTAAAATTGAGGACAGAGACCTAGCACCTGTGGGGCCAGAGTGTGAGGCTGACCCTCTGGGGCAGGGGACTCGGGGAGGGGACACATGCGCTTGTGTTGGCTGCAAGAGCTTCATAAAGGGAAAGGCCCCCAGGATGAATTGCAGCTGCTCAGCCGGAGGGAAAGAGCCACTGGGGATCAGCACAGCCAGGGCAACCCTCCCCCAGCATGCTCAGGGAGGCCAGAACCAGGAGACAAGGCTCCGTGACCTCAGAGTGAGGCAGTCAGTCAGTTCCTGCCCTGTCTGCACAAGTCTGTTAAAGCAGTGGCCCAGCGGCGCTATTCTGTGTCCTCACCCCGTCTTGGGAAGGAAACAAAGGCTGGTATTTTTAGAGCTGTGTTAGTTTCTGCTCATAGCCGCCAGCACTTGCTGGGCGACCCATTTCCCAGCAACCCAGGAGAATCCCACTCATCAAACACACTCTGTAGCAAAGCGACCAGAAGCCCAGAGCCTGCCCTGCCAGGAGCCTGCCTTCGGCCCCTGCCAGGAGCCTGCCTTCTCTTCCTGCCCGCCACCTGTCAGCCCCGACAGGAGACTGGCAGAGGGGCCAAGGACACCAGGGGGCTTTCGCGGTGACATGCAAACAATTAGCAAAGTGGATGTGGGAGGTGCGCGTGTCTGCTCAGGATCTGCACTTCGACACTGCACAGATATATGCTGACCTTCTAGTTTATTAAGATCCAAGAAAAAGTCAATATTTCTCTGTTTGCTAGAGCTGGAGGAATTTAAATGAGTTACTGAGCCAAACAGTTAATCTGCCAATAACCCACTGTTACCTTTCAAATCTATAATGATAAGAAAGCAGACTTAACCAGCAAGAAGGAAGGGATTCTTTTTTTTTTTTCTTACACATCCTCAGTCCATGGGGTAGTGCCATTCTGTCTTGTTAAGTATTTTGAAGATTTAATTAAAATTTAAAGCAAAGACTTCTGTGGGTATAAAATCTGCGTTCGCGTTTTAATTATTTGTACTTTCCATCCCCTGGCAATTCTTAACTCTACCCATGTTGCCGTTCACAGAACCTGGCAATCGTCTGCTCTCCCTGGACTCTTGTGGGGGATCGTGATGTTGGCTCTAGATTCCTGCTTGGCCTTTCACTTAGTGGTGCCTTTGCAGAAATCAGCTACCGGCCCACCGCCCTCCTGCACGGTGTGGCTCTGAGCACTCTGTCCCTGAAACCCTTGTGGCTATGTGTTGTGCACGAGAGACAACCGAGCAATGTGGCCACTGCCGTTTGCTGGATCTCAGCCTTCTTGACCACAACCACAACACTGAGCTAGAAAAGACGAGGTCGGGTGGAGGGGGCAGTCTGTTGTGCCTCAGCTGACGTCAGTTGTCACGGAGAACTGTTCTCCCACCTGTGCTGCCTCCCCCGCCCTGGACACACAGGGTACCACTGCCCTCTTAACCCTGCAGTGGCTCCCTGACACCTACAGAATCAAAGCTGGGTTCTTCTGCTTGGTTTGCAATCTGCTATACCCATACCTCGCCTCCCTTTCCACCTCTTTTGTTCGAAACTGCTATTCCTGTTGGGTTTCCTACCTGAGACCTGCTGATGCTACCTGGAGTGGCTTCTGGAACCTCGCCCACTCTGCCCCATAGAAAGCCCTCCTCACCTGGGCCCACAGGGTCCACGGGCCCTCACCTCCTCTTGAGCCCGAGGCTCTGTTCACTTCTCTAAGAAGCAGCTCCTGGGCTCCCGTTTATCTCCAGACTCCAGGACGGGCAGGATTGTGTCTGAGACACTGGGAGCAAGTGAGCCGTAACGCCTGAGCTCTGCTCAGCAAGATGCCCTTCTCAGCACCCACGGCCACCTCTTTGAGTTCTGTGGCCCTGTCTCAGATAAGCCTCAGCCCATGAGGAAGCCAGCAACCCCAGCCCCGCCAGCCTGTGTCTGACCCTCTCTGTTTGTGTCCTGCAGGGCTTCCTGGCCATGGGCTGCTGGCCTCCTGCAAGAAAAAGCTGTGCAGCCGCGGGAGCCGGTGTGTGCTCAGCAGCGAGACCGGGGAGCCCTCCTGCCAGTGTGTGGAGGCCTGCAGGCCCCGCTACCTGCCCGTGTGTGGCTCTGATGGGCGGCTCTACGAGAACCACTGTGAGCTCCACCGGGCCGCCTGCCTGCTGGGAAAAAAGGTTGTCGTCATCCACAGCAAGGACTGTTTCCTCAAAGGTAGGGAGATGGCTCCTTGCCTTATACTTTTGGATTCTGTGATGTGGACAGAGGAAGTAAAGAGAAGGATGGGTGCTTTAACCAGCAACAGTGGCATTTCGCTTCTGTCTGTAACCCTGCTCCAGAGACCGCTGCCTTGGCTGAAGCCCCTTGTGAAACAGAGTTCAGGGACATCAAAGCAAACCTGGCTGGTACAGAACACAGGTCCCTCAGGAACGCTATTACCAGGCATCACCCCCCTGTTCACGTAGGATGGCCCCTGGCAGGGTGGTAGCAGTGGCCACATTTCCCCAGGTGGACAGAGTCCCATTGGTCAAGACATACAGTGACCAGAAGGACATCAGCACAGTGGTTCCCTGCACGGCATGGACTCTAGCTCTGTCCCTGTCCGGAACAGTTGCAGATGGAAAAGCATCCCATGCCTTGCCTGTGCAGAGCAGTTCTAAGCAACACAAGCCCCAGCAGGGACATCAGATAGCACCTCTGGTGATGGGCTCAGTGGTCTCCTGCTTCATGCTGGAGAAGCGTGTCAGGAGAGCGGGGCAGCGTTGGTCCCCAGGAGATGACGAGAGCCACATGGCAGTGACTCTGTGCCATGCCCCAATCTACTCTAGGCACCCAGCAAGGTGCCCTGTACCAAAAACCTGCTCAGTGGCTCACAGGCGCTCATGGGTGTGAGAGTTAGCATGCGCATTCCTGGGTTGACCCGACCCCCGTAGCGAACGTGTGCCGTGGGTGAGAGAAGTACTTGTTATCCTGAAACACAACTGGCTTGTGTGAACAGATCAGGAAATGTGTAGAAGGCAGAAGCAAGATGGGAGCAGATGGGAGCAGGCCCACGTGGCCTGAGCCGGGGACTGTGGCAGGTGGGAGAGCCCCGCTGCGGTTCACAGGCTCGGAGGGGGCTTGGGGAGCAGGGAAAGGAGAGAGAAGTTGGAGAAAGTGAGGTCTGCCACATGCCAGCAGCTGGATGGGCAGGAGCTTCTGCAGTTGCCAGCAGGGAGGGGCTGGGCCCTCAAACAAGGGACTGAGCTCAGTCTCGCTGTCAGTCCCCAGCCTGCACGTGACTCCGTGCCTGTGACACAGGAAAGTCACAGCTGAGGCGGGCAGCACAGGTGAGCAGGCTCCACCACCTCTGCTCGGCCACCTGCACCCACACAACGGGCCCCTCCCGCCCTCCCCGGCTGGCCGCGGCAGCGTGGGCTCTGGAAAGTGCGTTCAGCCATGATGGGAACCGGCTCAGACACTTTCATGGCTGTGCTTATGATGCTAATGCCGAGGTGCTTCACAATCATGAGACACATTATGCAAATGAGGCCAGAATGGGCCGAGGACAAATGTCCCTGGTCTGGAAGTGCTACCCAGCCCCGTGCCTGCCGACTCCTTGGCAACCATGCACACTAAAACACTTGACCAGTTGCTCCAGCTTTATTGGCCGTGTTGAATTTTATAGACTGATGTTCCGTTCTCTGGTTTCCAATATCTCCCAAATTGCATCTTTCTGAAGGTTTTTATTTCTCCATCACAGTGTGTACAGCCTCCCTCGCCAACGGTTACACAAACAGCATTTCTCATTTCACACGAGGGAAAGAACAACCACAAAACCTGCCACCCTGAGGGATGATGGGGTGAGCTGGGCCATGGGGGGTGGGGGAGGCGCGAGCCTCTCAGGCCTCGGCTGTTTCAGGCTGACTGAGTTCATCCCCCGAATCCTTCTCATGTGCAGATTCTGTGACTTGCCTCATATGCAGGCGTGGGGCTGCTCCTCTCGGGATCCTTCTTCGACGCCTATATGCTCCGCAAAACACTGAGGGTGGCATCTCCGGAGGTGGAGAACACTGAAGGACATGCTCAGGCCATGCAGCACAGTGCCAGGCGAGCTGCATGTGTGTGGCGTTAATCCTAGGTGCCACCATCACTCGTTCTACTCCAGCATGGCCTCGGGCCTAGAGCAGAGGGAATATGTACCAGGGCTCTGCCTGAAGGGTTCTGGGGACATCTCGGATGGCTTTCCGGTACCTGGAGAGTGTGCAGCAGGTCCTGAGTGTCTGCCTTGATGCAGTCCTGGAGATGCCCACCCTGGAGATGCCCACCCAGTCCAGGAGGAGGAGGAAGAAGATGCCTTCTTCCCAGGCCTCCTGGGCCTGGTGCTCAGCATCAGCTCCAGTCCCGGCAGGCAGGAGCCCTGTGCCTCTTCCTCTGTCATCCTCTGGGGTGTGTCCAGGGGCTCACGGGGGTGGCAGACAGACCAGCCGTAAGGGGAGCTTTGGGGCAAGCACTTCTTCTCACCAGAGCCGCAAGTCCAGCAGGAACCGGGGAAGCAAGTGACAAGGGCTCTGTCAGGAGTCAGGGATGACAGGGATTCTTGGGGAAAGGAAGGGAAGGACAACTTCCTGCTATGCCCTTCTTGTGATAGCGGCAGCGTGTTTAATGCCAGCTTGAGCCCCATGGATGATAATTTCTCATTTGTCCCAAATTTCTAGAGAGTTTTAAAACAGGAAACTTAAGACACCCATTTTCCAAGCCAACAAAAAATTATAAATTGTCCATCTTCTGTTCTCTGTTCCTACTAGATTTCACAAAGAGGACTTTAGATTTCACTCTCTAGGACTTTATCAGCCCCGACAGCCGATGTGAGGGGCTTCCTGAGGGGCTGGAGTGTGCAGGAAAAGTGAGTAGGTGCACTGGATTAGGCTGGGCCAGCCCACTCTGGCCAGAGCCCCTGACCCCCAAGAAGAGGTTTCTCCTGGAGACTGAGGAGGGACACATGACACTTGCCAGTCTGCATGAGAAAGAGGCAGCATTCTATGCCCCATTTATAAGAAAACTTCGGGTATCACACTGCAGTTGCTATGGCAATGGGATTCCGTGTGAATACAGGATGAAATACAATATCATTTAGGGATCATTAGCATGTGTGAACGTCAGACTGAACCCAAAAGCATGGCTGCCCTCCTTTGCAGCTCTGATCTGGGTCTCCTCAGATGGAAGCAGGGGACAAAGTCCAGGTGGAGGAGGGATGTAGGAGGTGCATTTCCTTTGTCTTAGGGCAAAATTAGCCACACTTTTCCTGGGCATCAGCTATGACCAAGAGAATTCCAAGATGTCCAGGGGGCTCACTGCTTAATTCTGTATAGTTTGCGTTTGAAAATTTACCTTGTGACACTGCGTTCCTGTTTCCACGCCAGTTGGCACTTTAAAAATTGTTGTTTTTTTACTTGGTTTTCAATTCATGCTCTGTCTCCTGTGCTACTCAAGACGAGCTTGTGCCTCACACTCAGTCACCACACAGGGTTGTATTATACCAGATGCGGCAGTGCCAGAGGTGGGCAGTTTTCCAAACAAACCGTGAAATTATGGAAGAAAAATGACTGGTGTCGGTTTGGTTTTAAGTGGACCCTTTGGCTTCCTTAGCCCGAATGTGTTCCTTGGTATGTCACAGGTGGGTCCCCAAGCTAGTGAGTTTAGGGACACTCATTTGCCTTTATGGCAAAAAAAAAAAAAATGAAGCTACAGGTTTGCTAATCTTTTTTTTCCATGTTACTAAACAGGAGTAAGATCCCAACGTTCTGTTGCAAGCTAGCAGAGCAGATTTTGTCTAGTTATTCTGTCACTGTTCTTGTTACTTTGAATCTTGGTGATTTAAGAACTTAAATTAGTCTCCACACTTCCCAGGGGGCGAGTTTTTATACTTCTGCCAGTCTTTGCTGCCCTGCCAGGAAAAGCTACTCACACTCCTGGAGGTGCCAGGCCAGTGCGGCCCTAGGCAGGATGTGAGATCGCACTGCAGGGCTGTGGGCTGTGGGCGTGACGGGGGGTTGGTTTCTTTGCCTGGGCTGTCCTGGTAGCAAGGAGGGGGCAGCAGGGAGCTCAGGCTGATCAGGCAGTGAGGCAGGCAAGGGCGGGTCCTCGCCGCACCTCCTTGGACACTGCTCACTGTGCCCGCTTATGTCGTCTGCAAGATGGGAATAACAGCACCTACTTCACAGAGTACCTCGTTTATGAGGGAACTGTGCCTGCACACGGCCATCACTCCCCTCTGAGTGCGGCAGGAGCCTGGGGATGATGCGTGATGTCACTGCAAACATGGCCCCTGTTCAGGAGGCTCAAGCAAAGGGTTGTAAGGCCCCTGCCTACAACACGCGATGAGGAGTGAAAGGCGAGGGGCGATGGGGCCTCCGACACGTGAGGGCCGGGAAGCACGTTGGCCTCCGCATTTACTTAATGGCCAGAATCTGACCTGCAGGTGCTCATATGTAATCACTACCTTCTCCAGCTGGCGGTACCTGTGAAGAGCAATGCAGTGAGTCACCCGGGCGTGCATCGGTGAGAAGCAAGAGCAGAAGCAAGCGTCCCCGAGTCAGACAAGCTAGTCCAGCTTCCTTGTTTCCAGAGGGGCACCCAGAAGTCCAGACAGGACAGGGCTGTTCCCGGAGTCCTACACACAGAGCCACGCCCAGGGCCCAGGATCTGCCCTGGCACCCACAACAGGAGGCGCAGTGGTTCCCCCATAAGCCCAGCACTCTAGGAGGCTGAGGCAGGGGGAGCACAAGTTCAAGCCCAGCCTGGCAACTCAGTGACTTAGGGAGACCCTGTCAAGGAAGAAACGAAGGAAGAAAGGGAGGAAAGGAGGAATGGAAGAAGGGAGAAAGGTTGGGGGAGGGAGAAAGGGGTGAGGGAAGGAAAGGAGGAAAGCAGGGAAGGAGGGCAGGAAGGAGGGAGGAAGGAAAGGAAGACAGGCCAGAGAAGTAGAACCAGTGCTAAGACCCTGGGCTCAACCCCCAGTACTATCAAAGAAGGAGAGGAGGTCGGGAAAGGGGGGCAGGGAGGGGGAGGCGGCACCCCCCACAGAGCTGGGGCTGCCTTATTGAAGTCCAGCGGGGCATGTTCCCAGCAGGTCCCGTTGCTTCCCCTTTCCATCTCCCCCATAACACAGGCTGCTGTGGAGGGCAGGCTCTGCACCCGGGCAAGTGAGAAAGGCCTCGTGCAGCTTCTGGCCG